ATTTTCCGACTGAAAAAAATTGAAACCTGGCAGTTTAAACTACGCGAACTCTATAACATTAAAGTTTGATACTATTGTTTGCAGATATAAAATCGGAGGTAAGTAATTATATTTAGAAACAATTTAATATATGTCAACCGAATATATTTAATTCCGAAAAATAAGAAAAAAACCGATTTTTATTTTTTTTTTTGCCACGTTACACCAAATAAAAAAATCCGAAAAAAATTTCGAATATAATATGGCATAAAACTTATCTACTGAATTTTTTTAAAAGTGGCCAATTTTTTAGATCTAGAGAAAATGCGATTTAAAATGTTCTGGCTTTTTTAAAAACAGAATTTTCAGCACAGAACGACAACAAAATTTAAACTTCTGTATATGGATTTGCCTTTGTAATCATGAATTTTTTTTGTAAAGATTAATTCAAATTTGGCGGAGAAAAAAAATATAAAAAAAATCACATCTCTTGTGATATTTCAAAATTGTGTGGGTCTTTTGAAATGAAACTTGGCACAAAATTTTCTTTTATCTGGGTGGACATTTTGCCCAATGCCCACTATGTCGATCAATTACGCGCGGAGCTCGAAATCACTCTCTCTTTAACCCGCTATACCCTTTCTCAGAAATTTTTTGAATATATGGTACTACAAACCATTTCTTTTTCGTTTCCGGTTCTAATATTGTAAATTTAGAATCTTTCTGAGGTTTTTGCGCAAAAAGAGACCTTAATCGTTTATTGATCGTGTCCATAATAAAGTTCAGTGAATAATCGTTTTTTAAGATAGTATTCACAATAAACTCTAAGTTCTTTACATGGTATTTCGGTTCCGATAGAAGGAAAGCTCTGGCCACTGCGCCCATAATTACTGCACGTTTCTGATGACAACAGATGTGACAACAGATGTGACGACAAGAAATTGAGGTGAGAAAAGGGGACTTTCTTGATCGGATATTCACATTTGACTTGAAAGTTTCATAGGATAAACCGACAACTAGATCGGACATTACAATGGATCGGATAAAATATCCATTCAAGTATAATGTTTAATTTTTGTTACAAATAATAATAAATATCAAAAGTTTTAAAAATTATATTATTTATTATAAAATGCTGACATTGTTACACAATTTTGTGGATTTTATTATTTTTTTATTATTGTAACAAAAATTGAACAATAATTAGTATTTTTGTTGAAATAAAAAAGATTAAATATTATAGAAAATATAACGTTTATTAAAAAAAAAATTGACACTGCGAGGATTCGAACTCGCACTGAAATCTCGTCGACTGCATTAAAAAGAGAAAAACGCTTCAGTCTGTTCAACTACGCCGCTTACCGATGCACAATTCGGATACTTACCGCACAGCT